CCTCTGCCAGGAAGTGTCAGGTTGGCAGAGAATCACTCACACCCTCCAGTGAAGGGAAGTTTGCCCGAATAGACAGAGACAGTGTGTTCTTCTCTCTGATCTTACCCCACCCTCTCTCACTGAAGTAGGCTTGAGGGTAGGAATATAGCTATAGTTGTCTGGCGTGAGTTGGGGGCCAACATGCCACCAAAAGCTAAACAGATCTGCTCTGTAGGCCGAAATGTTATCTGCTAAAAAATCCATGTGCTCTCTACAGCTTTTCCTAAACTGTACCAACTGATTTATATTGGAATGAGTTGTGAAACAGTTGGTAGTTCCTGATAAGCAAATCAAAATTGTCTAACAGTAGCTGCCTTTTATGTGCAAGGTGAGAGAGTACATAACGTAAGGTCAAAAGCTAGATTTGGAGCCAGGAATAATTGGGTTCAAATTCTGTCTCTGATGCTTACTAGCTTTGTGACTCAAGGTATGTCACTTAGCCCCTCTAAGCCTCAGATTACTCTCATAAGATAATATGCTATAGATAAAATGGTATAGATATGTTACAGCATGCCTCAGTGAAGGTAGAGTTCCCATACCAATGAGATCTTTGACATATTGACATGTATGGAAGGCAGTATTGAAGACACAAAGATCAAGAGTGGGAAATGGTCCCTGCCCTCAAGAAGGTTACAGTCTAGTAGAGTAACATATGGAAGATAAAATTTTCTCAATGATGATGAATCATGTAAAGAATTTATAATAATGCCTTTCTACCATTTGCTTAAGAGCTCTATAAGCCATTAAAGTCAGGATGCTAGTGGAGATAATAATAACTCTCATATTTATATAATACATTGAGGTTTCCAAAGGCATTTTCCTCACAATAATCCTGCAAGGTAGGTAGTATACATCATTCCCTTTTTGTTGTTGTTGTTGTTGTTGTTCAGTCATATTTGACTCTTCATGACCCCATTTGGGTTTTCTTGGCAAAGATACTGGAATGGTTTGCCATTTCCTCCTCTAGCTTATTTTACAGATATGGAAACTGAGGCAAGCAGGGTTAAGTGACTTGCCCAGAGTCACACAGCTAATAAGTATCTGTGCCATATTTGAACGCAGGAAAATGAGTCTTCCTGACTTCAGACCCAGCATTCTACCCACTGTGCCACCTAGCTGCTCTAGTCCCATATTACAGAAGAGGAAAACCAATTTTCAGAGAAGTGAAATGTCATGGTTCAAACCACCAATAAAGCCTCAGAGGCAGGATTCAAACCAAAGTCCTTGAGTCCTGGCTCTTTTAGATGTACTGTTACTGTCTCCTGTTGACTTTTTTAATGTGTAATTTCAGCAAGCCTAAAAGCAAAGATGTCCTGGAGAAACGATAACATAAATTCCCTATCCTTTGCCTTCCATTCTTTAACCTGGCAGTCTTCCCTTAGAATAATACCACTTTCTAATACCTTCTAATACCATTCGTAGGCCACAGTGATGATAGATCTTCCACTCATCATAGGTAGTAATTTTTTCCTAAATGACCACTGTGTGCAGAAAAGGAAGAAGGAGAGGACAATCCCTTATCTAACTCGATAGAACTGGTCGAGCTAGGCTATAGATGTGAAGGGCATGAAGGCTATGAGGGCACTAAATGGCTCACAGACAGCTGAGGTTGATGAAATAATGACATCCATGCTGCCGACCAGTTCAATCACAGACTTCAAGCCGTGCAAATTAAGTCTACTCTGCATGGACTTTGTGGAAGTGCTTCCTCAGAACTCTTTTTTTTTCCCCTGGCTAGGCAATGAGATTAAGTGACTTGCCCAGGGTCACATAGCTAGTAAGTGTTATGTGTCTGAGGTCAGATTTGAACTCAGGTCCTCCTGACTCCAGAGTCAGTGCTCTATCCACTGTGTCACCCAGCTGCCCCTCTCAGAACTCTTAATGAAGAATTAGACATATACAAGTCTCTGCATTATTTTTCATGGGTTCCTCACTGTAGAGCTGGAAGAGACCTCAGAATTTATTTACTCTATGCCCCTCCCATTTTACAGATGAGAAAACTTAGGCCAGGGAGAATAAGTAACTTGCCCAAGCTCACATATAGGTAGTAAGTATTAGAGACATAATTTGAACTCAGATCTTCTGGTTCCAGAGCCAGAATGCTTTCCACTATGCCATCCTGCCTTTTTCCTTCTTGCTTTTACTGTGGTTAGTCAGTTCTCTTCCCATCTGGCCTCTCCACTCCTGGCATGCTCCCTAGCCAGAGGCATCATTCTATTGGATGTCAGTAATACTTAGCAAGTGCTTAGAGAAAAACAATCTCCTCTCTGAGAGAGAAGACAGAGAGATGCCTGACTTGGCATGCTCCGAGGGCCTCAGGTTCTGTCTGAGCTTTAAATCCAGTCCAGAGCTTCCCACAGACTCCCAGCCATCATGAAAATCAGCACACATCACAAATGTAAATATCCTTTCTGCAGACCAATGTATTAAATCACTGAGGCTTTAAGCTGAATGCGGAGTTATTATGCAGTGTCTCTGGCAGCCTCCTCTTTCCCCCCTTCCTCTTACCTTCCTTTACTGATGTTCCTCCAAAAAATCTTTTGAATCTGTTATGAAAGTTACAATCTCCAGAACCAACCCAGGGAGCACATTCCTTTATCTATTTCAACAGACCTTCCAGAACATAGGAGGGGGCGGGTTTTTTTTTTCCTGCTCTCCCCCTGACCTAGACATTTTTTAATTTTTCCAAGACCAGCATTTGTGTGTCCATTCTTTGGGAATGCCTGGAGTTTGTCCCAACACCATATGTCTCCACCAGCAGCCTGTTTTGGAACCTTCCATAAAATGAGATTTGTTTCACGCAGCTTTCACTGAAGAAATGTGTGAAAAATGGGGGCAGAGGGAAAGAGGAAGAGAATGACCCTTTAGCAGAAGTCACCCATTGACCTCCCTGCTTTATGCTCTCCACTAGCCTGACAAATTTTTCAGCCAAGTCAGACACTTTCCAGAAGAGACTTGTTTTCTTTGAAATGGGGCCTTGAAGATTTCAAATCTCAGGAACTGAATTATCTCTTTCAGAGATAATTCCTATAGGGAGGACTGAGTGATACATTGCCTAAAAAAATCTTTCCTGGGGATTTGAATCCAGCCGTGACATCTTCCCTTGGGTGACCCAGCCCAGCACAGATCCACATTAGATCCATTTTATCATGGTCCCTCTTGACTCCTGTCTTACTAGAGCAGTGAGCCTCTATTCAAGAGAGAATCTGGGTTAAGCTCAAGATACGTTGATGGGACTGAGTTAGGGCTCCCACTTCAACCCAATGCCCTAGGAGACTAGGGTTCTAGGCTTAGCATTGCCACTAGCCAGCCTTGAGACCAGGGACAAGGGACTGTCTTCTGCACCTAAGTTTCTTTTTCTGCAAATGAAGGCGTTGAGCCAGATGACTTCTTTCTGACACATAGAATTTTGCAAATTAAGTTAGAGCAAATAAGCATTTATCAGGTGGTTATTATTTGTACAGTACCATACTAGAGGTTTCACAGTCCTGTTTCTCACTTCTTGTCAACCTGCCTATTGCTAAACTACTGAACTCATAGGGTAATTGAGAGAAAAGCCCTTTTGCTTGGACTCAGTAAAAGCCCATTTCTCTATTCTTGGTCATCACATCCACAAATTCAGGGTGTTGGACTGGAAGATCTCTGAGTATTCTAAGTCCTATATGATCTTCAATCTTCATCTTTCCAGTAGAATGTAAAGAATGTAACTGGGGCAGCTAGGTGGCGCAGTGGATAGAGCACCAGCCCTGAAGTCAGGAGGACCTGAATTCAAATCCAGCCTCAGACCAAACACTTGACACTTACTAGCTGAGTGACCCTGGGCAAGTCACTTAACCCCAATTGCTTAAAGAGAAAAAAAAACTGCAAAAAAAAAATATATAACTGATCTCCTTGGGATCAGGACTATTTTTTGTTTGGACTTTGTATTTGGTGTTTTGCACATAGTAGGTACCTAACAAACACTCTTTGAACTGAACTGAATGGAATTGTAAGTCTTAAAATACTTAAATATACCTTAAAATACTACAGAAATGTGGGCTGTTATTGTCTTTGCCCTTATTCTACATGAGCATAGAAAGGTCAAGTGCCTTCTCTGAGAGCACAAGCAAGTCTGTGACAGAGCCAGTAGAAAGCTGTCTGCTTTCTAGGACAAGGCATTTAAGTACCCTGAGCAAGTTTTGAAAAATGTGCCCCCTGTGTGTTACTGTCCCAACACTAAGTCTTTGAGCTTTCTCTGTAAAACAAGCAACTTGACATCACAAAACAGAGGCCTGCACACAACAGGGAGTGGAATTATCTGTAATAGAAAATACACAAATGCATCAAAAATAAGTAACCCCCATCAGAGAATCAAGAGTCACATCTCCTACAACATGTGAAGCTTCATATCACAGAGCCCATCCTTCAGGTGACTGCCCATCCTCCTGGGATGGAGTAGGTGTTACAAGGAAAACCTGAAAATAGCCCTGCTGGCACCCCCTGAAACTTGCACCCTTGGCAGCTTCCCACCTTGCCTACTCCTTGTATCAGCTCTGGCTCTGTCTAAGCCGTCGTGTTGCCTCTCATCAACATCGTCTCTTCCAAGGGCCTTGTGCTCATTCCAAGCTTTGAAATAAAGGACAAAACTCACATTTCTGCCAGACAGATTGTATCCAGGCTCCTCTGGAGGAGTAGCTAGCAGTCCCGGAGTGTGGTTTTGTATTTAAAGCGGCTGGATACCCAGAAAGAATCTAAAGTCCATCAAACTATTTCACATGTCAGAGCCTATTCCAGGTCTTGAAATTGGGCCATGGAGGCCAGAGGCTTCTAACCAGAGAGCTACATTCCTACTAAGGCAACGGCATCCTGTGCTAGGCAGGAAACAAATGGAAGATTGGGGAGCTTAGAGTTGTGGCTTTGTAAAGATGGCCCAGGAGGAGTAAGAGCCAAATGGCAGAGAGAAGCCTGTCCTCTATAATTACCTGCCCAGAGACCTAAGCCTTTCTGAGGGATCGCTTTTGCAGAGCCTCTGTAAAGGAAGTGTAGAAATTGCTTCTTTATTTCACGTCATTTCTTTTTAAGGACCTTGGCTATTTTTAGAGGCCCCTTTGGCTTGCCAGCTGCTTTTGACTCTGCAAGAAAAGTTGAATGAAGACGACTTTTCCATCTGCATTGTTTGCTGTTTCCTGGTTCCATTGCCATTCTCATACTTCCGTGGCCGTATAGTTGGTATTCCACACACAGGTCTGTTCACAGCTCTCCCTTTAGACAGTTGGCAAGGATGTGCTGAGCTTTACGGGAATGAAAGGGAGAGAGCAAGAGAACGCCAATCAAAGACAACATGAAATGACTGATTATTTTATTTTATTTTTCTGGGTGAAGGCCTAATTTTTTTAATGATGAAATAACTTGGAGGGGAGGTAAAGTCTGCGTCCAAGAAGCTGAGCTGAGAGATCTGTCCTTCCCTTGGTATCTGGGTCCCCTATGGAGAAAACAGATTCTGTTCCTAAGAGGAAACATATTTGAAATCCTGCAGTGGTAGCCGGTCCAAGAGTACAGTTCTGAGAAGGACAGAACAAGTTTCATGTCTCACCCACCCCAACTCCAATCAGCTCTTTTTGTATCTGCTAGGCAGCTAAATGTCACTGCCACCACTTCAGGCCTTCTCTTCAGGGCTGACTTTTTCCCAGTGTTTGCCTTTTTTTTTTTTTTTTAACTGAGCTTTCACTATCATTCCCATTACCTTTTTAGAACCGAATGAGATTGCGGGGTGGTAGAAAATATATCAGGTTTGAAGCTAGAGGACCTGGGGGAAATCACTTAAGAACTCTATGGCTCAGTTTCCCCCTTTATAAAATGAGGGGGCCATACTAGATGGCCTTTAAGATTCCTTCAAGGAGCAGCTAGGTGGCGCAGTGGATAGAGCATCAGCCCTAGAATCAGGAATACCTGAGTTCAAATCCAGCCTCAGATACTTGACACTTACTAGCTATGTGACCCTGGGAAAGTCACTTAACCCCAATTCCTAGCAAAAAAAGCCAAAAAAAAAAAAAAAAGACTCCTTCAAGTTCAATAGCTAGGAGCCTATGAACTGAACCCTATTTCTTTCTCATAGAGAAAAGATTCTTGATATGGAGAAACTATATTAAAAATGGCCTCTCTAGGATGCCAAATTCTATAGCTCTATTAAGCTACAGAAGAAAAGGAGAAAAGTCAGGGTGGTTTTTCTCTCTCTGCTATGATGCTGTCTTCTTGTTCATGATCCAGTGAGGTCGACAAAAAACTGACTCAAAGGTCACTTTTCTAGGTTCAAGAGCTTCTTTTGAATTGGGGGAGGGGCAGGAAAGTAGACATTTAGGTAGATAGTGTGAGCATCCTGTTTTGGTGTTCATATAGGGTCCTGCTGGGTTGAAATGTTGAAAAGGAAGTCACCTCCCTGATATATTGTTACTTTCTAGACCAGGCCCCTTCTGGCTTAGATAATTAATAGATGACATACAGATGAGGAGCTTAATGAATAAAAATCCATATTTATGAAAAATATAAATTGCATGTGTTTGCAAATGTAGGGAAGGGGGCATACCCTGGTAGGTGATAGCTAGGTGGCGCAGTGGGTAGAGCACCAGCCCTGAAGTCAGGAGAACCTGAGTTCAAATCCAGTCTCAGACCAAACACTTGACACTTACTAGCTGAGTGACCCTGGGCAAGTCACTTAACCCCAGTTGCCAAAAAAAAAAAAAGATTTACTATAGAATTCTTTATTAAATTGTGAACATTACTACAGATTTAAAACATGCTTTGATTTATAAAATTCTATCTACGCATAAAGACATTATAGTACAGTGAAAGGAGTACTGGATTTGGAGTCAGAGGACCTGGGTTCAAAGAACGTCTCTGTCACTACTCCTTGTACAGCCTTGGGCAAGTCACTCCAGCACTACAGCCCTCCTTTTCCTCATCTATAAAATTACAGAATGTGTGGGGATACATGGAGATTTTGGATAGGACGAATCTCTAAGATCTTTCAGCTCTGAATTTTATTTGTTGTTCAGTCGTTTCAGTCACATCCTACTCTTCATGACTCCATTTGGAGTTTTCCTGGCAGAGAAACTGGAGTGGTTTGCCATTTCCTTCTCCAGCTCATTTCATAGATGAGGAAACTTAGGCAAACAGGGTTAAGTGACTTGTCCAAGTACACACAGCTAACAAGTGTCTGAAGTCAGATTTGAACTCAGGAAAATGAGTCTTCTTAACTCCAGGTCCAGTGCTCTATCCACTGCGCCGTCTAGCTGCCCTCTGAATTTTGTGCTCCTACACTTTTCTTAGGAAGATGTCTTTAAGTCAGGAAGCTGTATATAGTGTGTAGTGTATACAGTGTATAGTGTATGTGTATAGTGTATAGAGTATAGTGTATAGAGAGCTGGCCTTTGAGTTAAGAAGATGTGGGTTTAAGTCCTGCCTGTGACACATACTAACTCCGGAACACATTAGTTCTCAGTACCCCAGGCGTCTAAAGACTCTAAGTCACAGAGCACAATTCTGTCACAGCAATCTACATTGGTAGAGGGAGTTTCCTTACTGAGAGCTCTCTATACCAATGAAATATCAACCCCGGCCCAAAAAAATTTAATAAGAAAGCCAGGTAGACTTAAATCTACTGCCTTGAGTCTGGTTTTGTTGGGAAGCTTGTGCTTCCATTGAATTTAAAAAGCTGAAAACCCCATCCTCTGAAAATAATATCTTTTTAGAGGCAGGTGGTGGTACAGTGGATAGAGCACTGAAGTCAGGAAGACCTGAGTTCAAATGTGACCTCATACACTTACTAGCTGTGTAACTCTAAACAAGTCACTTTCCCTCTCTGTACCTCAGTTTCCTCAACTGTAAAATGGAGATCATAATATCACCTACCTCCCAGGGTCACTGTTAGGATCAAATGAAATAATATTCGTAAGGTGCTTAGCATAGTGCCTTGTACATAGTAATAAATACTTAATGAATACATGTTCCCTCCCCTATGGAGGAAGGTATATTTGTAGGCCAGTTTTCTCTACCACTGTACAATTCTTATTTTTTGGAGGCAATTGGAGTTAAGTGGCTTGCCCACTTAATATATATATATATATACCAATATATTTATATATAATATATAAATTATAGATATATGTTTCATGAAAAATTTGCCAGGATGAGAAGAAGTTGTTTAAATTCACTAGTTGTCTGCATGAAAGTTCAAGTAGGTGGTAGAAGACTTATCAACCTTATTAAGAGCTGTCTTGATTTTTTTCTCAATCCCATTGTTTCAAAAAGTAACACTAATGACTTCAAAAATCTAAAGGACAGGGAAATGCCCAAAAGACAGAATGATGAGGAATGGTTATGGGGGAGGAGGAGTAGTTTAAATAAGATGAAAGAAAATAATTGCAAATTAGCATCATCAGAATGATCAGGCAGCATAGTGTGCAGTGAATAGAGAGCTGGTCTCAGAACTAGGAAAACCTGGGTTCAGGTCCCACCTCTAAGCAACTCTCACTAAGGTATGGAGAAGGTACCAATCTACATTATCAGAGAGAGCGTCCTCACCTGGGAGTCCTGTATGAATACGACCTCACAGGCCTAGTCTGAATCCCTTCCTTCATTTTGTAAGTGGGGAAAGTCAAGCCTGGTGCTAGGCATATAGTAAGCATGAGTCATTCATCCGTTGGTGGGTTGTAAGTGTCTCTAGTGGAAGACACTAAACAATTAACCTTTTTGTACAGTTTTTAATAAATGTTTTTTGCCAAATACTCCTTTGGCTATGTTCTCCTCCCTGTCAGAATCCAAAAGCAATCAATCAGTCAACAAGTATTTCATGGGAAAGAACGCTGAATTTGGAATCTTAAAAACCTGGATTCAAATTCCAGCTCTCCTACTGACTACTTGTGTGACCTTAGAGAAGCCAAAGATTTAGGGCTGGGGGGCAGCTAGGTGGCGCGGTGGATAGAGCACCGGCCCTGTAGTCAGGAGGACCTGCGTTCAAATCCGGCCTCAGACCAAACGCTTGACACTTACTAACTGTGTGACCCTGGGCAAGTCACTTCACCCCAATTGCCTAAAACAAAACAAAGATTTAGGGCTGGAAGGAACTACAGAGGTCATCAAATCCAACCCCTCATTTTACAGGCAGGGAAACTGAGGCCTAAAGAGGTGAAGTGATTTGCCCAGAGTCACATAGCTAATAAACACTTGAGGCAGGATTCAAACCCATATCTCTCTGATTCCAGGTCCAGCGTTCACTACCTTCAGCTTCCCTTTGATCTTTGTACCCAGTCTTGTACTAGGTGCAATAGAAAATACATGAGAAATATAAGCCCATGAAGAGTTTACCATCTTGTTAAGGAAATAGGACATACAAGAGCCCAAGACTGTAAACTGTTAACTGTGCAGTATAAACAAGAAGCAAAGTAAGTGAAGAAACCAGCAGACTTACTGAAACAAGAAGGTGAGAAGAACAGATTCTTCTATGTTAGTTAACTGACTCTCGCCACTCCCAGATCGTCTTGTTGCGGTAGAAGGGCTTACGTAGCTATTCTGTTCAGGGTTACTGAAGATGCACAGGTCATACTGGAGAGTTCCATCGGAGAAGAAAACAACACACCACTCCAGTATCTTTGCCAAGAAAACCCCATGGATGGTAATAAAATGATAAAAGATATGACACCAGAAGATGAGCCCCTCAGGTCAAAGAGTGTCTGATATGCTACTGGGGAAGAGCAAAGGACAACTATAAGTAGCTCCAGCACTAATGAAGCCACTTGGCCAAAGCCCAAAGGAAGCTAATGGAAGCAGTGTCAGATTTTATATTCTTGGGCTCAAAGATCACTGCAGTGACAGTGACTGCAGCCATGACATTAAAAGACACTTGCTCCTTGGAAGAAAAGCTATGGCAAATCTAGACAGCATACTAAAAAGCAGAGCTATCACCTTGCCGACAAAGGTCCATACAGTCAAAGCTATAGTTTTTTTCAATAACAATGTATGGCTGTGAGAGTTGGACTATAAGGAAAGCTGAGCGCCACAGGATCAATACTTTCAAATGGTGGTGCTGGAAAAGACTTTTGAGAGTCCCTTGGACAGCAAGGAGATCAAATCAGTCAATACTTAAAGAAATAATTCAGGCTATTCACTGGAAGGTCAAATGCTGAAGCTTAAATGCTTTGGTTACATAATGAGAAGACAGAACTCATTGGAAAAGCCCCTGATGATGGGAAAGATTGAAGGCAGAAGGAAAAGGCAATGGCAGAGGATGAGATGG